CATGGTTGGCGGCCATGGTGGTTTTTCCTCGGGTTTTCTGGTCAATCAAGCACCCACAAAGTCTTCACGATTCCAATCGCAACCTCATCTGTTCATGACGCGAGACCACAGCTCCCAACCACCGACTAGGTGGCTGAGGACGCTGGAACAAGCAAAACGACAACCATAGGGCTGCCGGCAGCAGCAACCGGCGTGCACGACGTCGTCTCACCGAGAGTACCGAAGGAGAGGAGAGGGAGAGGTGGCAGATGGGCTTACCAGTAGTTTCTTGGTAGCTCGTGACCGACACATGCGAACACAGCTTTTTCCAACGATCTCAGCGGTTCTCCGGTGCCCGTGACGTCTCCGGCAGAAGCGTTGTGGTGGCGCTCATCGGCGCAGCAGCAGGCGACAGCCTTGTCTGGTCGGAATAGCGAGAAAATGAGAGGTGGCAGCTGGTAAACTCACGCATGGCGGCGGCTGAAGAGAATCCATTAGGTTTAGGGTTTGTGCAAAGAAACGGGGGGAAGGGATACGGGAGTTAATCTTGTGTCTTATTTCAAACATTTGTGCATTATTCAAAGATTAGTCCCTCCTCCCAAGATCTTTTTCAATCCAAGTCCATATTTTACCCTTTAGCCCCTGCTTCCAAAAATCTATTCAATTTAAATCCAATAAAACACACCCTAACTTTCAAAATCCTTTTCAAATTAAATCCAGAACTTACATTTTAACCCCTAAATTCCAAAATTATATCATTTGGCTCCCCGAAACCAAAACCCTGCTAAATATTATTGATTTTAGGGCCATTTAAAAATAATATAAAATATAAATTTAGATCTTGGGGTTCCGGGTTATTATGTAATTACTCTATTTCAAACGGGATGTTACAACAAACTTTCAAGATCTAAACTTTATGCACTAAAGTGACCAAAAGCACATAACACCTAAAACTTGCTAGATCTAACAAATGCATCATCAAGATTCAAGCTTTATACCTCTAGAAGAAAGATCAAGGTGAACAAAGTGTGGATCCACAAGCTCTAATGCAACCAACACTTCTCCAAAGAGCTCAGCCTTCTCCAAGATGCACCGAGAACACTCCAAAGCACTCAAGAACACCTTCTTTTGTTCAAAAGACTCAAACTAGGGTTAGGGTTTCAAAGGAGGGTGTTGAAGAGGTGGAGGTTGAGAATAGAATGGGCTTGGGGAAGTTAAGGAGCTTAAATAGGGCTCAAACCACTAAAATAGGGTTTGGGCAATGATCGCGTACTCCAGGTATGCCTAGTACGCCCAGTGTACATCATGTATGGCCAGTGTTGTAAAACTCACCGAGTTGGCCGATTACTCCTCCGAGTACTCGCTACTCGGCCCCTTACCGAGGCGAGTTACAGAATCCCGAGTACTCACCAATCGACCCTTACTGAACTGAACAGTGTTGTAAAACTCAGTCAACTCGGTGATTTATATATATATATATATATATATATATATATATATATATATATATATATATATAATATACTTAATAATTTATTACTTAACACACACACATGTGATTATTACTACATATATATCTTAAATTTTCAGTAATTATTCACAAGGGAGACCATTATGTGTTTTTTTAGTTTTTTGTGTATTCACATGTATCTAATTTTGTTATATATTTCAACAAATTTATGATTTTAACTTATGATTTTGACATATATAATTTCCCTAAAAATATTTCTACATGAATTACCAAATCCGAGTACTCCCCGAGTACTCGCTACTCGGTAGTCAGCCGAACAAGTACCGAGTAACGAGTTCTACAACCTTGTGTATGCCTAGCGTACTAGACTAAACCCAAAATCTTCCTAACTTCAAACGGTTATAACTTCTTCGTTCCAACTCCGTTTTTGACGATCTTTGTATCCACGAAAAGATATTGAAGAGACCCGCAATATTATCTAGATATTTTGGACTAAAAACTTCCCGAACAAAAATCCATATTTCATGCATGAAGTCTGAAACATCACTTTTCTCGTTTTACCCTTTGACTCCAACACAAACCAAACTCTTGGATCTCATAATCTACATTACCCACATCCAAAGGGGTCTAAACCTGTCTTTCCCAAAGCCCGAAGCCTTATGATACTTGATCTTCGGGTCACGACCCCGAATTATGAAACGACTCGAAACAGGGTGTTACAATTTTTGTGTTTGGAAATTTAGTATAGAAGATGATGTACCAAAAATCTTTTGTTGCAGATTTGGTTGTTGCCTATAAACGTTTTATTGGAAGTGTGATGATGAAGGAAATTGTATCGAGGTGAGATGTGGTTGAATAAGTTTGTTGGTATGGAAATTACGGCGAACCTCAAGTGTTAAGTAGGTTAAAGTAACACCCGTATTGAGCGAATCCCATGGGGACATTATGTTTAGGTGTGGGTTTGGGTTTGGTGGAGGGTGTTTGGGTTTTGTTCCCTTTTTATATTTTTGTAGTTGTGAAGTTGAGTAAAATAAAGAGAAAGAATGAGTATGGTGTAAAAAAAGAATGGGAGTGATAAGTATTTATCAGTGTTTGCAGAAATCGGCATTGGCGGCTCATTAATCTGCGATTAATTGTTTGACGGCCTTTAATTGATTATGATTAGGGTGTTTTGCGGAAATTGGTCAAAATCGGTCAAACTCGGGCTTGGCGATCATCGGCGGTCATAAACGGAAAATATTTAAAAAAATCAAATTTTTAATTTTCAAATATTACACCAAAATTTTAAATTTTCAAATTTTTAAGTTTCTAAATTTTAAAATATTATACTAAAATTTTCAAATTTTCGAATTTTTAAAATTTAAAATTTTCTAGTACTTATTTTTTTAGAATATATTAATTTTTTAAATAATTTTATTAATAATTTAGGGTCTCCGATTAATCGCTACCTAGTCAGTTAATTGCTTAACGTCAGTCAATCGTCGAGCTACCGTCAAACGATTTTCACAACGTTGGTATTTATAGATAAAAATAATAAATTTTATTAAAAAAAAATCTAGTGTTGAACGGTCATATGACTTTTCCAAGTTCCAACTCTTAACCTGGCCTCGACAAACTTTGAGTCCTCCACAATCTGCCGCGGGGAATTAACTGGGGGACTATTTTGGGTCCTCAACGGCGTGGAGGGAGGCCACATTAGCTTCTTCCACTTCATCTCATGCCCATGCCATGGTTTCCCTTGGTATTTTGATTGGAATCATCTCTTTTCTCACCCTCACCTTACTATGTCTTTCTTCATCTCATCGTTCCGGTGATTTTAGATATTGGATAATATCATTAAAATAAATAAATAAATAAACTCTTCTATATTAAGTTTTTTTTAAATGAAACCTCCATTTTTTTCCCGAAAAGAATATTGCATTTTTTTTATTTTTACCAAAAACGCTCGGCTTTTTATTTGTATCTAAAAAAACCTTGAACTTTTAATTTATTTTGAAAACACCCACAACTCTTTTTACTTTTTTCCAAAAATAAAAAATCTCACGTTTAACAAGTTTTGTTGGGAAAAAAATCTGCTAAAAAAGTTAAATTTAAAAATAATAATAATAACACACAAAAGTACAAGTTTTTTTCACACAAAAAAAGGTTAAACTTTAATTAAAAAAAGAGAGAGAAAGAATGACTTATAATGTATTTTATGATATTAACCCTACTAGATAATAAACAAAAGAGACTGAAAATAACTATAAAAATCTTAACAAATTTGAAAATAAGCAACTACCCAAGTATTTAGAGTTAATGACCTAGGAGGCTAATAATGTTTTAACTTTGTCCACGTAAGGTCCTTAAGGTTTTTTTTTTTTTTGTACATATTACACCAATATGGTTGTTATAAACCGTTTAAAAAAGATAATAAGGTTTTAATTTTGTCCATATGAGGTTCTTAACGTCTTTTTTTGTACATATTACACAAACATGGTTATTATAACCGTTTAAAAAAAGATAATAAAGTTTAACTGTGTCCACATTAGGTCCCTATTTTTAATATTTTTTATCATTTCATCTAACTCTTTTACAATTTATATTAGTATCTAGTTAGATGGCTTTATCATTTTATCTTTTCATTTTAGTCGTCCATTCACCACAACCACGATTTCAATCAAAAGGTTACATAACAATTTTTTTCCATTTTTACGGAAAAAAAAGCTAATAATAATGAAAGTCTTAATGATTAAGACTATGTTTGGCGTCATAGCTAGCTGATAAACTAGTTTATTTTTCGATATTTTTTAAGTTGTCATGTTTGCCAAAAAGGAGCTTATAAACTAGCATTTTAAAAAGCTACTTAGACTAGTTTTTTAAAAGTTTTTTTAAAATTTCCAAATATACCTCTTAATTAATTAAGAAAACATAATTTTTAAATGTCATTTTATGTCATTATATAAATTTCGGATAACTTATAAGATAGAGTCAAAGTAAAAGAGTATCCTCGATAAATAATTGCCTACTGGGGATACCCAATTGGCGGAGCCATTACTTATCGGGGATATCTCATTACTTTTTTGGGGATACTCTTTTACTTTTAACTGGCTCCGCCACTGGCTTACGTAACCTTTTGATTGAAACCGTGGTTGTGGTGAATGGGCGACTAAAATGAGAATATGAAATGATGAAGCCATCTAACTAGATACTAATATAAATTGTAAAAGAGTTAGATGAAATGATAAACATATTAAAAATAAGGACCTAATGTGGACACAGTTAAACCTTATTACCCTTCTTTAAACGGTTATAACAACCATGTTGGTGTAATATGTACAAAAAAAGACGTTAGAGACCTATTGTGGACAAAATTAAAACCTTATTACCTTTTTTTAACGGTTATAACAACAATGTTGATGTAATATGTACAAAAAAAACCCTTAAGGACCTAATGTGAACAAAGTTAAAACTTTATTACCCTCCTAAGTCATTAACCCAAGTATTTATGATCAATCAATGTGAGTCATTATATCTATCTAGCGGATAAGATAAATGAAATCAATATGTATAGCCAAAAACAAAAACATATCCAACAAATTAAACATATTTTTAGTGATTACAACTTCCTAAATTAAAAAAACCTAAAAAGAATTAGGAATGGGATGCTAACATATGAAGTCCGCTTCCATACATACATTTTTCAAAGAATAAAGATCATCATATATTGCTGCTTTCTTCTTCGTCACTTCACTATCACACTATTATTTTTCCTTTTCTTTGTTTGCTTGTTTCCGAGCAAAAGAATAATAAATAGGTTTTGGTGTATACAAAAAGGCAACCTTTTTAGTTTATCTTTGAGCAAACAAACCTACATAAACACAAAACACAAAAAGGTAAACCCAAAATGTCTTTTTGAGAGCTTGGCCATCATTCAAACAATAGTAGGCGTACCATGAATAGCCGCATGATATACTCGCTTCTCTGCCAATCCAATATCCGTCATTATTAAGTTCCCCTGCAAAATCACATTACACCGATGATTGCGTCAGGTCCACTTTCTTTAAAAAGTTAGACAGACTGCCCTGCGATGGAAGCTCAGTGGTTGAGAAGTGAAATTTCATATAGGAGATCCAGAGTTCAAACCCTGGCACAGTACACCAGAAATATTGCTAGTGTTCCGCGATTGACCTCCCACGTGGGCCCTAGGGCGGGGTTCACTTGGGCCACACAGATGGTGCGTTTTACTAAAATCAAATTTTCGTGGTTAAAATTTATTTATTTGATATGCCTCTTACTGGGTCTGGTAAATGATAAAAGACTATGAATCTTAGTATCTGACTGAGTGTTTGATACTATAGTTAGAAGCCTCTGATATGCCTCTTACAGGGTCTGGTAAGAAGCTAAGTCTGACTAAATCAACAACTATCAAACAAGTCTTAGTTGACTTGTTACAACTTATTAACCATTATGTTGTGACATTTTACAAATTTGCCCTCAACTATTTTTCCCCAAGTGTGACAAATTAATAGCATACCTCACGAGCCATTAATCTCCGAACATTTTCAGCATACAATTTCGGATCATCCTTTTCTTCTTGTGAAGGGTAATAAAGTGGTAACCTCAGAACCGTTATATAATTTACAAATTGACACAAAAGCAAAATCACATGGCGAACCTACAAGTGGAATTGGAATGTATTAAAATAAATAAGAAATAAGAAATTTATTTTTTTTATTTTCTTATTAATGAATGGATGGATACTCAATTACTAACCCCAGATATGGTGTCCCATGCTGGGCTAAATTTCTCATATGGATATCTCAAGATGACAGGAAGAACGGGAGCTTTTGACAAAAATGCCCCTGTTTTAAATGGAAGTATGTAGTCTCCATTTGTAGTTGTCCCTTCTGTATGAAAATAAAACACCAAATTCTAATTTCCACTCATTTTTATACCAAAAAGAATTAAGAGAAGAAAAAGATCACCTGGAAAAAGCATCATCAATGGTGCAGATTTATCTCGAAGAGATTCATTAATTCTATCATTCACCACACCTGCAATCAACAAATTCAAAATGGATTACATTAATAAACAATATGAATATGCATTTTGTTAAATCATGACAAATTCAAGATTCAGCAATTAGAGTCTAGAGAGATAAAGGGGTGGAGAGAAATACCTGAAACGCCCTTGAAATCTGATGATTTTGACTCCCGTTGAACATATACACAACCAAGGCACTTGCTGAAAACAAGAAAAGGTAAAATATAATGATTAAAAAGTAAGAATGATAAATTATTGAAAGTAATTGTTTATAATTAAGAAGGAATTGTAACTCAAACCAACCTGATAAGGCCAACAAGAGGGAGTTTGCTCACTGATTTCTTCAGCAATGACAATAAAAGGAAGTAGGAACATGTCAGTTGTATCACTGAATATAAAAATATAAATCCAATATTTTTGGTTCAAAAAATTAACAAACCTTGGCAACAAAGCTTGGAAATGAAGAAGACATATGGTATAGAATATCCAAATGTGAAACATGATTTGATATAATAGCTCCAGGTCTTTCAATTTCATTAGATTCATGATTGACTTCCAACTGACATTTAAAAAGAACCAAGGTAATCAGATGCTTATTGATTCATAATATAATCTTACAAATCATGCAAGAAGCAAGATCATATAACATTCAAGCTTGCTGCTTTTCTCTAGTAAAACATATGGTTCTTGCTTAAGAAGATGCAGGGAAAATAATACTGGCATATATATATGCTCATTACAGTAGCTCATGTTGCATAATTTCTAAGAGAGTGTAATATATGACGTAACATGAACATATATAAGCTGAATTTGATGGATTATTCATTCTGCATTGCCTTTGATTACCTTAAAAAGTAGTAAACTCAATCTGGCATTACAAATGTGACTCGGATATAGAAGTAGAAGAGAAAGGTACCTCATCATTGAATTTGTTGTCCATGTCCGGATCTCTATAAGTCTCCTTAATCCAATAAAACCCAAAAACGAAAAGCAATGCCCTCGAAAGAACCCTCCCAAACCAATAAATAATCCTTCTCCTCCACCCACCCATGTGGGAGTAATCGTCTTGCTCGTCTTCATGTTCCTGGTTTGGCGCCAAACACAGGGTACAAGCCCTACAAATCAAGTAATACAGCACAACAACCAACGTAGCAGACACCACACGCAGCGGGAAAAGCGTGATTATTGCAATTCCTAGAAGAACCTTCTGGGTCCACGGTAGTTTCGCGCGTCCCATTGTTCCGTACATATCATGTCGGGCATACGCAGCGCATTGTTTCTCGAGCTCTTCGATGTCTGGCTCCGGTGTGGAGGAGGAGGGGCCGGGTTTGTCATCGGTAATGGTGGGTTTGGAAGTCGAAGATGAGGAGGAGGTGAGGAGAGGGAGATCATCTTTAATATGACCTTCTTCGAGATTTAATTCAGAATGTTGGGAGTGGGGTTCTGAGGACATGCCATGGGGTTCTGAATCCATTTATGATCAGAGGCTCTAATGGCGTTTGATTAGGTTTTCTGCAGGTAGTATGCCATGTGTTCGATGAAATGGATAGGAGAAGAGTGGAGATTCGGTATTTGTAGTTTGTGCCCATCAAAGATCAGAAGATTGATGGATACGGGTTAGCGTGAAGTGTAATGCTCCCACGTTAAAAACATAATTTTCAATTTGCTCTTTAAAATACATAAAATCATTATCTTAATTAAAATGAATCCATCAATTAGAATATGTTTATTTACTTTTAAGTTGATATAGTTAGATTTTATTTAAAAATAACATTTCGTATTAATTAAAAAAGAGTTTGAAAATCAAAGACACGTATGACATATCACCATCAACATAGTCATTTTCAAAATTTCATCTTAATCCAACATTTGCTTGTGCATTTATATTATCAACACTACAGAAATAAGAACATTTTTCTCCCTTTTTTTTTTTTACTTTTAATATTGGATTATGAACGATTATGGTCCGAGTCAGCCTGACCACACCCACCTAGAAGTTTTGTTGTCCTTATTCTCAATGTCGTCTCTTTTGCTTGCATTGTTTTCTAACCATGATCCCATTTTTGTTTGTTTGTGAGAAAACGATAAAAAAATAGTTTTTTTCTATAATGATTTGTAAAAAAATATAGTTTATAATTTAGGATAAATTATATATGTTCTTGTTAAACATTAATATATATATTTGTCCAACTAATGTAGATCCATAGATTTTTTTAAAACATTGTGCAAAGAGTAAAAATTAGCCCGTAAATATAAATTTTGTATATACGTAAAATTCATTAATAATACGATAAGATTTGACACCTAATAGACGACATTTGCTAATTATATTAAGGACTAAGATTAAAAACGGAAAAATTGTTCATTTATAAATAATTAGCAACGCAGCGAGACAGAAGTCACCTGATTCCAAAGTGTTTTGCGACAAGCTAATACGTCGTCAATTCGGTCGCTAATTCCATCGAAGTCTCTCGTTAATTTCGCCGTTGATTTTTCGTCGTTTGCTTTTTGCAACGGATTTCCAACTAAAATCTTTGTTGTTGATTCATTCATTTGTAATACGTAAACAAAATTTTGGTCCCTTCATGACAAGATTCATGTGTGATCGCACACCTCACACCTTATTAGGCTCGGCCGTGTGGTCAACCCTATTTGCCAACATTAGCAATGATGAAACCAAATCACTATGGACTAGACGTCGGACAGTAAATGAACAAAATTAACTAGTAAATATTATAAACATAAAGGAATAAAGCTTAAAGCAAATAAACCTTATAAGCAAACTTTGACGCATTTTTATATATCTTTTTCTAGCATTTTAAACCCATTTAATGTATTTTTGTAACATTGATTTTATAGCCTAGTAACTTTAACCATTTTTGTAATAAAAAAATGGCAAAATGATAAATACATTTTTATTAGGATCATGGATCCCGAACCATACGAGAAACTCACTCCTTATTGAAGCATAATGCTTCGGGGTGGACTTTGCAAACTCATTCCATGGAAAACGTATTTGATAATCGCATGTTTATCCTAAAACTTGGATAGGCGGGGAGCCTTTCGGGAGGTGTTGGCATTGGCAACGGTTTAAGCAGGTCGCCTATTCGAAAAAAAGCCATATCATTTGTCCTTTATAATGTGTTGGCATTTGCATGATTTTCTTCGATGTACTTATCATGAACTCTTAATTATATCACTTTATTATTAAATGATTTTTAAAATGACTTGAGTTACAAGGAAATGGTTTTGGAAAAATCTTATTATTTTGAAAGAAAAGGTTTTATAAATGTTTTTGGAGAATATGGACTTAGGAATTGAGTATTGTCATTCCCAAGTTCATTCCATAGTCACATTCTAGTATTGCTCACTAGGCTCTCCAAGCCGAACGTACTATTTTGGCATATACTTGTAGATGAAGTTGAAGACTTGGGTTAGCTTTTACTTGTACACATAGAAGGCCATGTATGTATTGTTCGTTTTTAGTTTGTAATGATACTTAATGAAACCTTATCATACACAATAAAACTAAAACTTTTGATCTAAATGTTTTGGGACCAAATTCTGCATTCAGATTTTCTAAAAGACCCACCCAAGCTTACTTTCATGACCAAAATTTCCCCTCTCCCAATGTGATGTCGGATTTTAGTTGCCCCGATCAAAACCACACCATGCCTAAATTGACCCTTTCGAGCTTCTAACTCGCATGGTCCCATTTACACTAAGTTTTCAACCCGATCGGGCTCCCATTAAAATCGATTTTCAGTTACGATCTTTTCAAGGCCAACTTATACAACTTAATAGACACTTTTAAAAGGGGATATTCATTTTAGAGAGGAGAATAATGAAAGGGAAAGTCTTGGAACAATGATTTATCGCCTTAATATTTCATTTTGATTTGTAAACACATATTTTAGGTACTTTTATCGTGATTTATCGGCTTGTGTGTATCATTTTAGCCAGGATGTGTGGCTAAAACCCTATTTTCTGAATCTAAGTCATTTTTACATTTGGTTCATGTGATCTTGAAACATCCAAAAATTATAACCCAAAAATTTCATTTCTGGTTGAAGTAAAAACAGTATTCTAAAACATTGTTCATACATCCCACTAGAATAATTATGTCAAACATCATCAAAATCAGAGTATGTCCCATAAACAGAATACATATGGTGTGTGTGATGCAGTCAAGCCGAGCTCTTCCCCTTGGAACCGGAAGTACCTGAAACATAAACTAAAAGTCGTAAGCATAAAGCTTAGTGAGTTCCCCAAAATATCACATATCATACATACAATAACATATAATTGGCCCCGACCTGTCTTCGGGCCCCGGCCGGCATCGGACCCCGTCCGGCATCGGGCCCTGCCCGGCATCAAGCCCCGCTCGGTAATAGATCAGGCCTCGCCCAGCATACATATAACATATATCAATTAATCACACAATAATCACAAAGATACATAGCATACAAATGATCATCGGGCCCCGCTCGGCATCGGGCCCTAGCCCGGTAAGCATATAAACACACAACACATGCAAGAGTCACGAAGACAACTAGCATACTAACATAGCATAAACATGGGCCGACATTGGTGCCTTCAACCCACTAAACCCAGTGAGGAAAACTCGCCTCGAAAAGCCAAATGATACAAATGATCCCTAACTGTTGGTCCTACAGCACCTCGAGCTATCAATTGTCACATAAAAACTAATTAACATTTGGGATCTACATCATAACCAGAAATCTCTACTTAGGGTAAAAAGACCATTTTACCCCTAACCTAGCTTGGTCCAAGATTGGAGCATATAACCACAATCCAATGGGCCCAAAAGTTAAACAATCCATCAAGGCCCAATATATGGCCCAATTTCCAATTGGACCCAACTCCTTCACATGGGCCTTAACCCAAGGCCCAATAATGTTCCTAGGCCCAAAAACTCCCAAAATCAGATGGCCCAACCAAGCCCTAACCTTCTAAGCCCAAAACGAAGCACCAAACCCAAGGCCCAACACTGAATGCCAACAGCTGCGCGTACAGGCTTGTCCACGCAGCGTACTCAACCAATTCAGCCAACTTCAAGATTAAGCTCCTAACCCATTAAGACTTTGTTCCAGGATGCAGATCTTACCCCTTTAAGCTGAAATACCACGTAAAGTTGCTAACTTTACGTCCATGCATGACCATAAGAAGCTCTAAAGCTCAAAAAGGACTTAATGAAGGACTTAATGAATGCATGAAGCCCCTAAACTCCATAAAGTTGGGACCTTTATTCCAAAGGAGTCCATGAAGACCTTAGATCTGAAGGAATAATCATTTGGGACGTCCTAATCCCAACATCCACCCAAACCATGGCTAAAAACATAACAATCTAACCCAAAAAGAGATCTAAGCATCTAGCAAGCAAAATGAGAACTTGATACCTCAAAAGCTTGGAAAATAATGTGGTGGTTTTGGATCCAAGACATCCTCTTCAGGATAAGCAACTTCTAACTTCTTCAACTCCTTCAAAATGCACAAAAATGAACACTGAAAGCTCTTCAAAAGCTTACACACTCAACAATGGAAGATAAGACTCGATTTTAGGGTTTCTGGACAGAAGAGGCTGATAGGGAGGCTAACACTTGGGACTTAATAACATTATATAGGGCTTGAACCCTAAAAATTAGGGTTTTGAGTCTGGCCATGTACGCTGCACTTACCACCTTATACGCTGCGGGTACGTGCATGCCTATGTGATCCTTTTTGTTCCATTTACGCCCTGCATACACCAGGCTTACGCCCAGCGTACGGTCTCAGCTAAGCCCACATAATAAGGCCCAATTTCACTAAGCCCAACACAACTTACATAATTAGACAATAAAATAAATAATTGAATAAATGATACCTTAGAACCATCAGACGTTACAATTCTCCCCCACTTGGATTAGACTTCGTCCTCGAAGTCCGTTGTCCCGAACAACTCTGGATAGTGCTCCCTTATCTCCTCCTCAGGCTCCCAAGTCCACTCTAACCCCTTGTGGTGCAGCCACTGCACCTTTATCAGCTCCACAACCTTGTTCCTCAAGGTTTTCATCTTCATATCAAAAATTGCCACTGGTCTCTCAATATAATTCAGGCGGTCATCCACCTGAATATCCTCCAAAGTTACAACTGCAGAATCGTCCACTAAGCACTTCCGCAGCTGAGAGACATGAAATGTGCTATGAATCCGACTGAGCTCGGTTGGAAGATCAAGATGATATGCAACCCGGCCCACCCGAGCCAAAACCCTAAAGGGACCAATATACATGGCGCCCAGCTTGCCCTGCTTCCTGAACCGGATGACACATTTCCAAGGTGACACCTTCAGGAGAACCATATCTCCCACCTGGAACTCCAAGTCTGATCGGCGCCTGTTGGCATAGCTCCTCTGCCGACCCTGAGTTGTCTGGAGCCTGCTCCGAACCTGCTGAATTAGCTCGGTGGTCTTCAGCACCACCTCAGTACTCCTCATAACTCGTTGGCCGACCTCGCCCCAACAAATTGGGGTCCTGCATTTCCTCCCATAGAGCATCTAAAAAGGAGGTCGATCAATGTTGGCTTGATAACTGTTGTTATACGAAAATTCCG